TGTGATGTCAGTGTAAACAAACGAAGCAAGAACATTTTCCAGAAAGAGTGCCATATCAATGCTATCAAATGTAACTAACAGGAAGACAAGGGGAATGAAGGAAAGAAAAGTCACAGAGAACGGTATTACAGAAAAGTATAAGATAATGCTAGAGGGGGATATAACATTATTCCTTGTTTTCAGACAAGCCATCTTCCTTAAGCCTTAAAGATATTATATATTAGTCTCTCTAGATCATACAGCTAATTAATGGCAGAGATCCTGGCATATGTTATAGATGAATATAATATGAAGATGTATACATATACATGAGAAATTTGTTAGTTACAAATACCTGTGCCTCACACAAAAATAATGTTGAGGAAATTTCATTATATGATAAGTTTTGTGCAGAAGAAACTACTCTGTGTCATATTGTACCTGAAGAATTCCTCTCCAGAGCATTTCATCTTTTTTATTCAGGCAGAATTTCAGATGAAATTTAATGTGGTTATTACTGAATGATTTATGATACCTTAATACTCAGGGGGAAAATTAAATATTTTAATAATTGGAAAAGAAGAAAGTCATTTAAATTAGCCTCTAGTTTACCTGCTTAAGTTGAACTCATCTATGCAAGGCATTATTGTACAATTTGAACTTTCTTCCACACACATAAAAAATCTCTTCTGAGATTCTCATTTCATTATTTTAAAAACCATTATTGTTTCCCTTTGGTGAGATAAATCCAGTACGTGGGTTGGAGCCCGAATTACTTCATTTTCCTTCTTGTTCTGAAAGGAAAGGCTGTGACTTAATTGTGGGCTTCATGTGACATATTTTGTTCTGTGAGTTTTGGGAAGAAGAATGCCCTTCCTTGCTAGTCTTGCTACTTCTAGATACTCTGAACAATCCAGGTGAATCATAACCATCAGTTTTTGTGGCGATCTTTGCATGCCTTTCTGAGGGCAAAGCATTCTGGGTGGGAAGTGAGCCTTATCTTTCCTCAGCACCTTTCATACTTTTCATGGAAGACCCATGAGTGCCAGAGCAGACAGCTAAAAACCAGAAATGTCTATGACATTCTGGGTCTCATATCTGTGCAATTTTTCATTCTACCTCATAATAGATGACCCAGTAGTTGTAAAATAATGACATCTCTTCCATTTGCTCCCTTCCACTTCAATAAATTGATGTTCCAAAGAGATGTTTTTGGTTTATTTTGTTGCTCTATGTGTTATAGACAAACTGTCAAGTAATTCCCCAGGTTGTACACTTACCGAGTTTGAGAAATATGGCCTTGGGGGATCCAAACCCTCCTAATAAACCTCTTCAGGTGCTAGGTTTCATATTGGTTTGGTTCTAGATCTGCCAGGAAAATCACGTGTCTGATTTCAGATGTGATTCTCTGTAAATTGTTTGCTGTATAGAGATGATTCTGGGGCCTGGCTTCACTCTCTCAGTTCCTGTCCACCACTTCCTATCTCTTGGGCTTCCATTGACAAATCATCCAGTGTTTCCAATTTGATTTATGTTCTGAAATGCTTCTGTAAATGCCTTTAGTGCTTTTCTGTTCACTAAATCCATTGTTAGATTTTAGCTTTCTCCAAATGTCAGCCTTCCACTGTTGGTAGTGACTCATTTCATCAGGCAGTTTAAGCTAAGTTACACAGTGGTTGTAGTACCACAGGCTGTCCACACAGACAATTTGTCTTTCTAATGAAAATGTGAACAGCAACAGTGCTGCATTCTCCCCTGACTTGGAGATCCATGTTGATGAAAATATCCTTATCTGTAACATATTATTGGGCTCATGGCAGAGGGAAAAGAAATGCCTGAACTGCATGATGACTCTTATAGCTTTGGTTTAAAACATATGCCACTTCCATTCACATTTCCTTGGAAATTTCAGAATTTCCTACAGCCAAGTCTGATGTTGCTGGGGTGAGAACTGGTAGGGAGGTGTACATTGACCAAAATAAAATTTCCCAAATCTAAGTTTTTCATCTTTTATATGTAGAATGTCCTTCTTTTTCTGAGGGGGATGCATTCCAAGACCCCCAATGGATGCCTGAAAAGACAAATGTACAAAAACTATAAATGTACTATGGTTTTTTCCTATACAGAAACACCTATGAAAAAGTTGAATGTACAAATTAGGCACAGTAAGATATTAACAGCAGTAAGTTACCATAGATCTTAGCAACCTCAGTATATGATTTTTTTTCTTTCCTTATGTTGAGAACTTTCACCTTTTCACCTAAAGGAAGCACTTAACAGCTTCTCTTTGTCTTGCCTTAATTGCCAACCACACTATTCTTGTGGTTGGGGCCATTATTAAGTAAAATAAAGGTTACTTGACACTATGATAAAGTAACAATGATATGATAACTGAGAGAGCTACTAAGTGACTAATAAGTGAGTAACCTATATAGCAGGGACAAAGGGCTGATTCATATTCCTGAGCAGTACAGAGTAGGACAGCCCAAGATTTCATCATACTACTCAGAATGGCACACTATTTAAAAATTATGAATGTTTTTGAAATTTTGTACTTCATATTTTTCTAGTATGGTTGATTTCAGGTAACTGAAGCTATGGAAAGAGAAACTAGGAGCAGCGGGGATTACTCTCTTCAGAACCTGACATTGTGCTAGCTGTGTCAGTAGGGGAAAGACCCTTCTTTCCTTCCAATATTTTTCTTGATAATAGTGAGGACTCTAGGTGTTTCTTCTCCAAATCATCTTCATCATCTACCTTTTCTCAACTTTTGCCATCAACATTTTATTTTCACTCTCCTCATCTCCTCTGTGGAAATAGTTTCCCACTATACTTTGCTGTTTTAGAAGTCTACCATGATAGGTTGTTTTTTTCTTACTGCGTGGCAGTATGCCTTCACACTAGATTTCTGAATGGCTCAGCAAGATAAGGGAGACCTGGAATTTTAACTATAAACCATATTGAGACACGAGAAAGGGAGTCAGTTATTTAGAACTGAGATCGTTTATGTTTATCCATTCTGAATAGAACCATCCTGGTTGAAACTCAACTGTATTAGCAAATGAATGAACCCTAGCCTTTTATCTAGTAGTCACTTAGTTTCCAGATATAAAAAATAACTTGAACGTACCTCAAATACAGACAACCCTGCCTGAACTTTATATATATTTCACAGTAATAATGTCACTATACCTGTACTCTATAGCCAAGCATGGTCTTAATGTAAATACTTATTTTGAGAGTTTCTTTGTATTAATCCCAATCTATCTTTAAATATGATGGGCATTTTATGGTCATTTTATATCCCATAATTTGAATAGCTGTTGCAGAACTAAGTGTTATCTATCTTGCAGTATTTCTGCTTAGATATTTTCGTTCTCTACCTTTTTGGGGGTAGGGGGCAAAAACTAACAAATACTTGTTGAATTGCATATGGTTTGTAGTTGCTGTTATTGAACTCAAGGTAAGTCATTCTCTCTGCAATTTTGTGAAATGATTGTGCAATTAAAATGTATGTAGTTTCTATATTTTTCAGTTGCAGTGTCAAAGCAGACACTGTGGTGCCCAGCCATGTGATCCCAGCACCCACCTTTTCCAAGCTCACTGGACCGACTTATAACTGCCAGAATTGGCAGCTATTTGCCTGAGGACTTTCTCTCACTGCTGGAGAACTCTGTCCATGAATGGACATACTGTATTAATGACCCTTAGGTGCAGCCCTTGCCCATCAAGTGACAGCAGTCAATGGATAAATTCCCAGTTCCCATGGCCCTCATTTAGAGTATCTATAAGATGTTTGGTTGAGCAGAGAAACTAAAGCAGATAATTTGGGACAACTGAGGCCAATAGGAGAGGGGGACCAGGAATTAGAGGAAAGGTTAGTTCAAGAAGAATTAACTTAGAAGGTAACACACAATCAATGCAAGTCAACTCCCTGTATAGATATCCTTATCTCAACTGGCAAAAACCCTTGGTCCTTCCTATTATTGCTTATACTCGCTCTTCAACAAAATTAGAGATAAGTGCAAAATAGTTTCTGCTGGGTAGAGAGGGGTAAGAGGGGTGGGGTAAGAGAGGGAGTAGGGAAAGGGGGAAGAGAAAGGGAGGGGGGTTAGGGGGGAGAAAGGACCCAAACGTTGTATGCACATATGAATAAAATAAGAATTTAAAAAAAAAGATGTTTGGTTGATACTATCACCCTGAGTTCCTTACTGGGACCAAGGTCCAGTTGCTTACAGTGGTTAACTTATTTCATAATGCACCCATTTTGGTTCTCTTCCCTTCCATGTCTCTGTCTTCTACTCCCCATTGGCATTTCCTAGATTTACTCCAAATTACACTACTTGAAATGTAACCTGCGTCTCAGAGTCTTAGAGTTTCTAGGGTGAATCCAAGCCAAAACAAAATTTATGATTCAATAATTTCTCTAATTTAGGGCAGTCCAATAGAAAAACAGTGCAAATCACACATATAATTTAAAATGTTCTAGAGGCTGCATTAAGAAACATGAAAAATACTAATACAGCTTATTCAGCTCATATGAATTTTATCAGTTTAAAATATTATTGGTATAACATATTAACGTGATTCTTTTTGTACTGAAATCTGTAGTGTAAAATACACTGATGATGTAGTCCAGTTTTGACTGGACACATTACAATGCACATATAACTAGTGACTACCATGTTGGACAGAGGTGACTAGTTCTGTACTATTGTTCCCCATGTATCAAAATTACAAGAAGTGACAGTTCTTGAATATATATCTGAGACTGGATGGTATCTCATATTTTCTATTTTTAGCAAAAGCTTACTTACCTTCTTTTCTTCTTTTAAGTTGAATAAAACCTATAAAAATCTAGACTGATGGAAATACTTGGTTTTGTCTAGTCTGTGTCCATATATTTGTGTTCTTTCAAGAATGAGCTTCTGGCCATAACTTTGAGCCTTATTACTTCTTACATGTTTGCATGCAAAATATAGACAAGATGTTTACCATCTCTGTGCTTGTGTATTTTTCAGGCAGAGGGTACCAGACTTCAGCGAGAACTCCGGGGATATTTAGCAGCAATCAAAGGTAATGTGTATGCATTGTTTACTGCATATTACCAAGCACAAATTGTTCTTGGAATTAGCAAGAGATGATTGAATGTTAATTACAAAGCCATTTGGCTTTCTGGCAAGTAGGGTACTTGAACACAGGTGTTTCATTCCACCACCTCCAAATTCCCATTGAAGTGATAATAAGAATACACAAGGACAAATATATATCTGCCCTTCTGCCGAAAACTAAGAATAAATGCCACCCACATGCCAGAGATTTCTAGGAAGACTTGTTGGACAGAGTGAGCTTGAGACATATTTAAGCAAAGCTGCAGCTGGCTTATATCCCTACAGAAGGCCAGTCCCAAGAGTAGAACACTCGCAGATTCACACTTGTACCCTCTTGCTAGAGTGGCAGTGGAGCAGGAGGAGGACTACAAGGAAACATGGCCTATGACTTACACACCCCAGTTGCACATGCAGCTCTGCCAGTGTGCAACACAGGGAATAGAGAGGCCCTGGCATTGGTTTCTGGCCTTTGCCATGCAAGGCGAAGAAGTGAGACTGATGGAAAAGGGAATAAATAGACAGCTATGGAGAGGTGAGCTGAGCCTGTGTCTGCTCTTCAATCATCATCAGGTCCCCTGCCCTTAGTTCAAGCCAAGTGCACCCACAACTATGCTATATGGTATATCAGATTTTGAGATGAGTGGGGAAAGAATGGATTATTTCACAAGGGGTCTTGGGAAAACTGGCTACTTAGACAAACATGAGAGTCCCAGTCACTTTACTTCCTCTTTCTCAATTCCAGATATAATAAAGATTTAAATATGCCTACCCAGAAAAGTTCTAAAGTGCTAAAGTACTATAATAAAACAGTAGATTTAGTCTCTTGTCCTGGGTGATGAAATATTTATAAGGCATCCCAAAAGCCATGAACCAAAAACATTGAGAGATTTGGCTTTAAAAATATGTAAAGCTTACAGACTTATGTTTTAAATTACCATCATTTTGATAATATAGTTAGTAAAATTGAACTAAGGTATAAGAAGCTTGTTAAGTAAACTAGATGGAGATTCTTTGGTTAAATAACAAATGGGCAGAACACCTGAAGAGAAAATTAGTGAAAGAAGAATTAAAGATGGGTAATAAATGTGAAAAATGCTCATCCTCATGAGTTATCAAAGGATATTACATAAAATTAAAAGGATGATACCATAATTTTTCCTCCAAATATTCAAAGAAAAATTTAAAGAACCATAAATGCCCAGCACTGGCAAATCTGTACAGAGCAGAGACCTCCGTGCATTGATGATAGGATGTTTTTCCTGAGGAGCAGTTGGCCGAAGCCTTGAAGTGAGTATTTAATTTTTTGGCATACGTTTTAGCATTGCAATTCCATCTCTAAGAACTTATTCTTACAGTTTCAATGTGAATGTGTGAAACTGATGACAAATATATTGATAAATAATGAAACAGTGAAAGTCCTAATGATGAAAAATTAGTCATGGTAATTGCTGCAGCTGATTTTTGAAGTCAAATGTAAGCCTTCATATGCCAGGGATATAATTTTAATCCTCAACAGCTCTGTAAGGTAGGTGCTTTCATTATCTTCATTTTTTAGCTACTTAAGTAGCTATCCAAGGTTGAATGCCTAATGAAACAACAGGGTCAAGGCACAAGCTCTGTTCTTCCTTTCATCCTCAGTCTTATACTGCTTTTGAGCTACATGGCAAATGGTAGGTATTGACTTAAAAAATTCTAGTTCGTTTTTACAATGGAAAAATGGGACGTACTACTATTACTTTCTTATGAACACTTCCTGTGTGTTAGGCTCCAGGCTAAGCATTTTAAGCCTGTTACCTCTTTGTAACCTTCCAAGACAGCTACATGATTAATGCCACTAATAACTTTATTTTACATTTGCAAAGAAATAAGGTTCAAAGAGTTTAATTCCACAGATTCAAAGAGTTCATAATCAACTGCTACAAAATTAATCATAAATATGCTTTTGCAAACCATTTGGGCAGAAGCCATTCTAAATATTTCTTCCACTGTTAATTTAGGGTATGAACACAAGTCATCATTTATTATTTTATGCACAGGACTTTTCTGTTTGTTAGCTGATCATTTTATGTGGATAAATTTGTTGAACGAATGAGTGAGCTCTCTCTTTTGACCATCTATGTAACTTGGTCTATTCTCCTTAGTATGAAGAATGCTACTTAGCAAGACTAGCATTATTTTGTTCTTTAATGTGGCCCAGAAGGGAATCCATTCAGAGTGAAGTGATAGATCTGGGGAGAAATTGGGTAGAGCATATGAGCAGTTTTTCTCTGAGTCTGGGTCTTTCTGTCCTATGAAAGAGAAATGGTTAAATCAGCTTTTGCCCCTTTTGGGTTTTTCTGATTGAATTATGTTAATACATGATACTCCAAAAATAATGAATGCTTAACAATGTTACTACTGAGCTTCTCAGAGCCCTTATCAAGCTAATGTGATCTTCAGAAAGCCTGTAGGATAGGCAGGATTTCTCTGAATTATTTGACTGGATAATGTTTCACTGAAGAATTATGTCTCATGAAGAATTAGTAGGGTTCCTTGGAATACACTTTGGGTTTTGGGAACACACTTAAAGACAGGGGATATGTAGTAAGTAAGTTATAATTTGCATTTTCTAAGTGCTTTCATGGCCAATTTCTTTTTCCACAAAGAACTCTAGCTACCTAATAGTACTGCAGTGCAGGCAGCATCAAAGCAGAATTTTAGGAGCAATGTGAGTGAGATCAACTCTGGAGACTTCTGGCCCCTGAGGCAATTGTAGAAAAAACATTGAGTCTCCCAGCTTCTTCTAGTGCTCTTTTAGAAAGTGCTACATTTTCTCTCTGAGATCCCCAAAGTTCTAGAGCTGGTATTCTGTGAAATTGGCTAAATGAGTTCTACACTTTGTCTTATCTTTGGTCTCTGGGTAGCATTCACCTTTGTGAATCTTTATGATTTAGTACAGTTGTTTAGATTGAGTTATCAGTAAGCCTATGTTATTTTTAACTACCTGAAAGGCAGGGGCCTGGGTCAGGAATGGTCCTTCCAAGGAATTTAATCTTTAGTGGACCCAAGGGAATAGGTGGTCATCAAGTAAGTATACTTCAGAAAGAGGTTGATGTTGGAGGGACATTCTAGGTAGGAGAATCAGTCAAAGGACAAGGGGAAGCAGCAGGAAACATAGTCTTTTAAACCAACAAATAGGCTATTGAGATGCAAGTAAAAAACTGAGCTGGATGAGATGTGGAAGGATATACTGAGTTTGTATAAAGAAGTGCTTTTTTTATCATGCCTGTTTTTTGTTTTTCCTATCAATGGAGAAGCAAGTCAATAAGCAATTGCAGGGAAGGGATTATTCACATCATCAAATTTTCATTTTAGGAAAAGAGTTATTGAGATTATGTTGAGTTCAGGCTACAGGAAGTAAAACTATCAGGAGACTTATGAGAAATGTAGTCCAATAGTTTAACAATAATAGTAGTAGGTAACGTTTATTGAGTTCTTATATGCCAGGAACAAAGATAACCTTTTTCATGCTTCCTTTCTTATAATTCTCAATACAGAATTATGATAGTACTATTTTTATTTATTGGTATTTTACACTTTGGAAAGCTGAGATTCAGGAATATTAGTGATTTGCCTAAAGAAGTCATACAGATGGTATGCAATGGAACCAAGAAGTTAGCAAAGGCTTACTGATTGTAAATAATAGTCTTAATTCCCATGCCATTTTGGCTCCAAAAACATTTTTATAATGATGGCTGACATTTAAATGTTTGCTGTGTGCCAATTACTTTGCTCGACCATTTCTATAGCTTAGATCTCATCTAATATAGATAATAGATGATGACTACCTAATGTGGGGCAGTAGAAGTGGTCACAGAATGGAGGGTCTGAATTCCAGAATCAGGCAGAATTGGTGCATCTTGGTGACACATTCACTATAAAGAATGAACTTAACTTGACTTCCAGATTTTTTTACCTGGAACAACTGGGGGATATTCATGAGGACTGGGAAAAGGAGTAGAAACATGTTTAGATAAGAAAGTTAGATGTTTGTTCGGTTAAGTCAAGTTTGAGATACTGGTAAGACATACAAGTGGTGACATTTAGTAGGGATTTGGAATTAGGAGTCATTAGAATGTGGTGGGCATGGAGGCCAGACACAGGGGACAGAGATCTCATGGGTTCTTTCTCTAAATGGAACATGGTGGGTAGTGTAAATTATATGTGTTAGTTGCATGTTACTTGTTATGTGCAGGCAAGACTTGAGAGGTAGGGAAGATAGTTTTGAGTCATATCCCCATCTGCCTGATTTTTCCACTCTTGCTCTTGTATTTGCTCACCAATTTGAGACTCTGAGAGACACACTTCTCTTCCTGCTTTCTTCTGAGGCAGTTGCTGTCTCTTAAATAGCTATCTTCTAAATCATGGGTCAAAGCTGATGGATGCTCTCTATATTTTCAGTATTCTTTTAATGGTTTATTGCTGCTACTGGTTGTTGTCATAATATATTTAAACTGATGTTATTTTTGACTAGAATGTATAACCTCAGACTATGCAAGCAAAGAGTAAGCAGTGCTATCTATATAACCAATCTTAGAGAATGAAAAGGGTAGCTCACAAATTTGGCTACAGATGGAAATAGAGGATGTTATATCAAATGCTTTGGAGAAGGTAAAAAATTTTGAACAGAGGGAAGAGGTTGCCATCCAACAGAAAAGAAATGATTCTTCTATAATGATGCTAATCATTTGCTTTGTGGTTTTATAAATCACTAATCTTTTAAGAAAATATTGGATATTAGGTACTGTTAAATGCCAGAATGTACTCTGCTCTAATGTTGACTAATTACTTTAAAGAGAACTTCCTCTATTATATTCTGTCAACAGAATAACTTCTTGTCCTAGTCTATTTTGTGCTTCTGAGTAATTTATAAAGAACAGAAATTGTGTGGCCACATCTGGTGAAGACTTTCATGCTGTGTTATAACATGGTAGAAGGCATCGGATGGTCAACAGAGAACAAGAGAGGGTCAAGCCCTTCCTTTATAAGGGCCTATCCTTGCTATAGTGAACCTATTCTTTGGACAATAACAATCCATTCCTGAGGACCTTAAAGGTCTCACCTCCCCACACTGTTACACTGGGGATTAAGTTTCTAAAGCATAAACCTTGGGAGACACATTCAAACCATAATAATTCTCAATTGCTACCATCTCTGCCAATATTCTGTGCCTTAGGAACAAGGCTTATGTTTACTCACCTATGTATCCATCAAAGTACTTTCTGTAGAGTAAATGACCTGGAAACAATTTATATGTCAAAATGGCTTCTTACCAAATTTGTCTGTCACTATTTATCCACACAGTGATAAATAGTTATATTTAGTTACTAATACACATATTTACTGCAACATTGTGCTTTTTGCCCCAATGAGTAATGTCATATATAATTTTGTTTTAAGATTATGTTCAAAGAATAATGAAATCTTGTCATTTGCAAGTAAATGGGTGGAACTGGAGAACATCATCTTAAGTGAAGTTAGCCAGACTCAAGGCCAAAAGTCTCATGTTCTCCCTCATATGCAGATTATACACCTAAAATAAGTGCAGTAATATTATTAGATATGGGTCACACACTGAGGGGAGAACAGGCATGGGAGGAATAGGGAAAGGGAAGGAAACAAAAAATTTGAATGTGGTTGATGTGCTCACTGTAGAGGAGCTAACATAGTATCTTAAACTGATAGAGGCCACTATAGGAAGGGGACTAGGAAGTAGTGAAGAGGTCTGGCAGAGATGAACCAATGTGGATTGCAATACACAAGTACATGGAAGCAACACACAAGTGCTAAGAATCTCTGTATAGCTAGCTATCTTTACCTCAAACTAGCAAAATGCTATGGTTTTCTTATTCTCTCTTATGTCTTCTCTTCAATAAAATCAGAGAACAAAAGGAAGCTGGAGGGGAACAGTGGGGGAGAGGTGGCCCAAACAATGTATACACATGTAAATAAATGTAAAAATGGTAAAACAAAAGAAAGAAAAATAAATAAGAATTATGTTCAATTTTATTTGTCATCACGAAGGTCATTTGTTCTACAATGCCATTTTTCCTACTTTTCTTCTTAAGAACCTATCTACTTAGCTGTCATAGATTGTCAAGAACCTATTTACATAGCTATTCATATTTTCATCGGAAGCAGACAAAGATTTAAGGAAAACTTCAGAAGATTTTTGGTATCAAATTACAAAAGAAGATCAGTCAGTGACTAGGTTTTGGCATGAATTTAAGAGGTGCATTTCTTGGTAGGAATTTGCTTGTACCTCTGTGGGGGTGAACATGACACTTGCGATAATGTTACTGTCACCTCAGTGGTGACCATATCATAAGAAAGTCTTCTCACTTTCTTGGATTCACACTTCTGGGGCCGGAAGCAGGTTTTTATATCCGTTTTGACTGTCTCTACACATATTCAACTGTTTCATTAACATTCACAGAAACTTGGGTCATCACTGTTCTTTTTCCTACCTTGACCTCTACCTTCCTCTGCCAGGAATAGTCAAGTCACTTAAATCATGTGGGCTACACACGTCACTGTCAAGAACATTTTTGGCCATGTTTCATGATGTACTATTCATGGAGAGAAGGTTATAGGCTTTTACACCTCAGGTGGCTCTGAAGCATGTTTAAACCTGTAGGATTCAAGGAAAGAATATCTGTCTACAGTTCCAAGTGAAGCAAAAGTTCTATGCCTAGAGAGAAAAACAGTATGATAAAATATCAAATTGCATGTTGACTTTTATACAGATTCGTAAATGTTTCACTTCTATCATTTCAGGCTCTTTTATTTGTCCTTTTTGAATCATTGTTGAACCCAGAATTGACTATCCTCTGTCCAACAAACATGTAGCTGAGTTTTCATCTTTGGTTTGAGTGTTAAGTTTTCTCCCTTTTGTATTCAACCCTTTGCATACCTCCAGTATTTGCCATCACCGTGTAAATAATAGAAAATACACAATGTGGTCTCAGAGACCCTCAGATAAAAATGTGACTATGAATATTAGTGGCAGTAGTGCCTTCACAATTTTCTTCCCTCTCTTACTTATCAAAGCAGGGATGGGGGAAGAGACTCCTCACACATTTCTATGTAACAAGAGTTGTTTCTCTCCAATACCAGGCATGCAGGAGGCCTCAATGAAGCTCACCGAGTCACTGCATGAAGTCTATGAGCCAGATTGGTATGGGCGGGAAGATGTGAAAATGGTGGGTGAGGTAAGAGCTGGTGTGGCAGTGCCCAGGAGACTTGGGAAAAGGCTCCTGCTGAGTCCTGCTCTTCTGCCTATCCCCTAATCCTCTTCTTCCCACTTCAGGGTCTTAATCACAAGGGAAGATCAGGTACTCAGAAAGCAACATGTAGCTCTGCTACCTGAACCATCCCAAACTCATGGTGAGAGATGAAAGTGATTATAAAAACCACTCGTGTAGAAAGCTGTTGGTTAAAGATTATTTTCTTCAAAACAGCAATGGCATTTTTCTGTTCCATACCATTTCTAGCAGAACTGGATTATGGTGCAATTTTATGAAGTAATTTCACCACTTTGTTCCAGTCCGCCTTTTAACCAACTCTTCCTGAATACAGGGACAGGAACTCAGAAGAGCATCCATTCCACTGGAACTGTAGCCAGTTCATCTCCCAATCTGCAGAGTTTGAGGACACATACAAAATCAGTCTGCAAAAAGGAATTAAGTTTCAGAGAAGCTTTGGCCCTAGACTTTTCCTAACATCTAAAACCAAACTAGCTCAGGTCCTTCTGGCCTGTAGAAAGCGGGCAAATGGGTATTGCTGCTTTGTGGAAAGCAGAGTTGGACAGTGACCAAGTCCATGTGATATTGGACTAGTTCTTTAATCATCTTGGGCTTCAGTCTCCTCATCTACAAAATGAGGGTAATAACGTACTTACTAATAACACATATGAAGCCTTTTGGTCACCTAGATAGACCTCAGTGCATTACGATAACTGATGTAAGCCCGCTGTCAGCCATGGATTCTTTTACCTCAGTGTTCTTTGTTGAAACAAAGAGTAGTTGTTTGTCATGTTCTTCACTTTGGATGCATTATTGCAGCTCATTTAGGCACAGAAGACCTGAACTACATGTGGCATCCATAGCTCAGGGGAAGGTCTAATGTGATAAGCCAAATATCTTTGCAGCCTTGGGGAAGGTGGATTAACAATGGAACCCGGGGCTACTCCATGACCACTGTGACATACCAGTGTTTATCTTCACAATCTCATCAGGACTGAGATTAAAAAGATGTTTATTTATGAGGAAACCTCTCATTGACCCTATTACATCTTCCAAAAACTTTCAGTATGTGAATTTGGCAAAATCATTTTCCAAACATCATTTTCTAGTGCAATTAATAAGGAAGTGCATCTTCTTACATGCTTTCCAATATAAAGACACTGTGTTTCAATGACATGTTGTTAAGTGTTTATCTCACTTTGTAAATTTCCCGTTAAAGGTGAATTAGCAAAACTTAATCATAAAAGAGGAGTTTTAAGGGAATAATGGAAACCTGTGTTAATAGTTGTAGAGCGTGAGGTCGTTACTGTCTATGTATGGTAATGACACTAGCAACGTTGATTCCTTAAGGACATGACTGCTGTCATACTTTCATCCCTGCCAAGATTTTTGGAATTTTAGTTGCAGATGCAAATGTGGGCTCTACTGATGAAGGGACTAGATACTGCATGTTCAGTGTGTCTACTTATTATCAGAGGATGGGCCTTTTTATTCAGTGGGTTTAAGAAGAAAAGTTTTGTGGTGCTTGAGATCAAACTCAGGGTCTTAGGCATGCTAGGCAAGCACCCTACCACTGATCTGAACCCCTAGCATTTAAATGTTTTTGTTTGCATAAAATTCTTGTCATAACAACTAGTATTATTTTTGAAGAACACAAAGGAAAATACAAATTAAACAAGTGTTTTCTAACAGGATGAAAACTTAGCTTTCACATAAAGTAATTTGAAGGTCAGCAACCAAGGTATGGCATGGTAGAACCACAAGTACGAGGAGCTCGTCTTTGACATCGTTAGGCTTTAGGGTTAAAATGACTCTGAAGATTGGCCATTGCCTCTCATTGTTTCATTCCGGTTAGCAGAAGGATAAAATTGGAAAGATGGGCCCACTCCTGAAGGTACATTCCATTGGCCAGAGCTTAGTCACTTTGCTATATTTAGTTGCAAAGGCATCTGGGAAGTAGAGCATCTATCCTAGACAGTCATGTGCCCAGCTAACATTGGAGGCTCACTTACTGAAAAAGAAAGGGTAGATACTGGGAAATAACTCTGTTAGGAGACCCCAAATGTAGAAGTGAGAGGAGTGTAGGGATGACATTCTTGAGCATCACTATGGCCCAAGAATTTGTGAAGCATGTTATTTCACCTACTCATTTAACTGGAGAAGTTAAAATCCAGGAAGGTTCATTTTCCTGCAGTCACACTACCGGGATGTGGGATGTGAACCCTGCTCTGGTGAGGCAGCTGGTGTAATAGAACACAGGCTTTGAATCAGGGAGATAGTGCTGGGTTGAAGGCTGGATCTTTCAATTATCAACCACATGACCTTGGTCAAATTATGTGACATCTCTAGATTTCACTATTTTCTTCTGTATATTGGAAATAACAAGTCTTTCCTAATAAAACTTTTGTGAGAATTAATTGCCCATTCCTTCCCCCCCAAAATAAAGTGTTTAACCTATTACTTGAATAGGTTAATAACTTTGTAACTAATATTCATTGTGTGTTTATCACAGTAGTTACTTCATAAATGGCAAGAGCCAGATGAAGTAAATTCCCAGTATGACTGTAAATTTTCTGCTCACTCTGTAAAGGCTTCAGCAATGATTTGCTGTTTGTTCTATCTGAGCTGATTTCTAATTTTATGAATTGCTTCAGATAAACTAGTTGTTTCAATGGGATTCTCAGTCTTTTAGCTCCAAAGTCCATCTACAGGGGTTTTGGGACCTTTCAAAGCTTCTACATTCTTTATTATTCAGAATCAGAAATACATATATTTTAATGAGATGAGCTCTTAGCCCGTATTGTCAATTAAAATTGTGGATAAACTGTCTTAAAATTTTATTGTATTCCTAAGTAATCCACGTTCTCCCTAGCATCTAATATCTGGGAAAATACTTTCCTAACTTCATAATTTCAGATATTTTAGAAGTTTAGTGAAGTGTATCCAATGAAAATAATGCAGTAGGTATCTCTTTATTTTACTTTTTCTTTTAGAAATGTGATGTGCTGTGGGAAGACTTCCATCAGAAACTAGTGGATGGGTCCTTGCTGACACTGGACACTTATCTGGGCCAATTTCCTGACATAAAGGTATTTTATTCTGTGTGTATAAAGGGAAGAATTGAATGGTCTCATGTAGCTATTGAAACATGGGCAAGATAAGGAGAATTAAAAGTCCTGAAACTGACATTAAAGACATTTCATAACTTTTCATGTATTAAAGCATGGAATTTTTGTTCTATTTCTGTCAGTTTAAAATTAAATCTAGCTACAGAAATCACATTGTCTACTTTAGTGAACTCTTCAATCTTTTATTTCTTTCCATAAGTCTTTTTACACCTATTAATATAAAATAATAAATAAAAGGTACCAACCATTTTAATTTTCATTATATTTAAAACTTCTATTTATAACATTGGACAAGGATTTCCATTATATTTTAACAATGGCTACAGAGAAGGGAAAAATTCATTATAAACATGAGGGCAAAATGTGATCTTTCCCCCTTTGCTGATTATTTTGCATATGGTCATAGTGCACCTGAATATTTTTCCTCTCCTTGACATTTTCAGGTTCAAATTGAAATAGTAAGATATAGCATTTCAAATATACTTTCATCTGGACCTAAAAATATATTTTCTGAAATATATATCTTATTTGACACTTGGATCCATCACAAGGGTGAATACACAAATGAAGTATTGGCTTGTAGATTTGAAATTAAACACTGGAAGTAAGCATGTTTTTAAACAAAGATTCAGGTTATATACAACAAATGGGTAGCATTACACACTTGTCCTCCTATTTGTTTTCTCTGTCAAGGAGTAGAACCAGGTAGGACAACCATGTGCAATCCTGGTAGAGTGAGGAGGCCATGAACCAGCAATGATTGGCATCTGCATTAGTATCTCATTACCTGTCTTCTGATGCATAATCTCACTTTTAATTGGCCTTCTTTGTGGTCATGGTCAAACACCAGGAAGGTAACTGTTTTAATGATCTTTGGTGTTGGCACTGAGATGTAATGAAGCTTCTTAACCAAACACCAGTCATAGCAACAACTTTAGTTTTCCTGCTCCCACAGAGTATGCTAAGGGCAACTGACAAGAGTGTTTTGGGGGTTCCAGAGTCCTGGATAAGAACCTAAATGTGTCGATCTAGATGTATTACTTTTGTTGGTACAATGGAGCAAATCCAAATGATGGATGTGCAGTGATGTTCTCCTCTAGGTACTATCTTCATCACAGATGACAGTGCTTTCCCTGTTTCTTCATTTTCTTTGACTGTGTTGATATCTATGTACACTGGTCCATATAGTCACCTCTCATTTTTTGCATACTGTCCCTGTACAGAAGACCCTCACCCATCTGGCCAGTTAGAGATTTATAGAGGCTTCTCAAACTTTTCCAGCCCACTTTCATTGTTCTTAGCTAGAGTATGCTGGGTCCCATCAGTGCTCGGAGACAAGCAAGACTGAAACCAGTGAAACAGGCAATTAACCCAAAGATGGATTATTGCATACTTGTTTAAAATTTTCTTTCCCTGGGGAAAAGTTATGATCTGGGTTTAAAAACATCTGCACTGAGCTAGTGGAAGGGGCTGAGGTGACTAATTGTGTGGTCAAATTACCTTCGTAGTTCTTACTAGCCCCCAGGTGGTTAGAATAAACTGGGTCATGATAGTGTTTCCAAGACACAGCTACGTTATTTGACTTTCCCTGGAAAGGCTGAGTTGTTGGACAGATGTCTCAACTCTCCCTCACGAGGTAAAAGCTGGGATCTGGGGTTTAGTATCCATTTATTCTGGGCTTTACTATCCAACTCAGATTGTGGTGCTATTGCACATGGCGGCGGGCTAATTGAAACAATTCCAGGCACAGCTTCAATTTGCACTTGCCTAAGGTGCAGGAGCCTTTCTACTAATTTCTGTGTTTCTCTCAAAGGATATTTATTCCTGGGGTGCTGTTTAATCAGTACATCCAAGGGAGAAAGAGAAACCAGGGTTTCTTATTCCTCCATTTTCTGATGTTTCTTCTATAACAATCAATAAAATAAATCAGAAGAGGATTAGAAAAACTGTTCTACTATGTGAAATTCAAAGAAGCTTACAATTCACTATATACTCATAGTTTGACTTAGCTAAGCAAAGGAAGGTTGAAATTGACTAGAGAAGTAGATGTTTGAAAGGTTGTTGAATTTATGAATGAAAACTTAGTACCATCCACAAACTATGAAGATCTCAGTTGTTATAGTACTTCCCAAAGACAGGTATTTAAAAATTGACTATACTCCATTATAGCATACAATTTCAGAAGACACACACAAAAGTACCTGTGGTGAGACACAGAAATATAAAACAAAATTGTAATATATTATACTGGTTAGTATTTACTGTTTATTCCATGTTAGAAAGATACAGAACTCAGTAGACCATTTACCTAAGCAGTTCCTTTCTTGGCATCCATCATTGAACTGACATACAAAGATGATCTTCCAGATGTTGAACCTCTGGAGATTTGAGAATACTAGCATCTAGGTCTTTTGCTAGATTCTATGAAGATAAATATATGTCAAGGTGTTACATGCATCACAGAAAGAGACTGAATTAATCTCTATTCCTCTTCCCTTATCTCCTTGTTTCCCTTTCTCTCAAGCCACATTTAGAAGATTGGAGCACACTCAGAGCTGTCAACCAAGATAGAGAATTGGGAAGTCATGAAACATGACAAAAATTTGAAGAAATAGTAATAACTTGGAGAAGAGACAATGTGGAATTGGAGAGTGGCAGATTTCTATATTTAACATTTTAAAGAACTTTTCGTATGTGATAATGGGCATAACTTATTCTACATGTCTTTATTCAATGAATGGAATTGAGAATTAGATATATACTCAGTTCATAAAGAGTAATTATGTAATAAATGGGTTATTGATAGAAAGGAAGATTGCAATTAAAAATACTGAGTGGAGAATTTTCAAAGCATGAAACATAATTGACTTCCTTGACTCCCATTAAAATCAACAGGCCATATGCAGTTAAAACCTCAGGCAAATTTCCAAATATTTACTGCAGCCCATAAGTGAGGGCTGTGAAGTACCATTCACAAGAGGATGGTGTTTGTGTTTTCCAGATGTGATTGGCAGGGCACCTTGTGTTATGGTTCCCATTATGCAGCATTGACATCGAAATTCAATGTTATAATAAGAGCCTGCTTGTCACCAACCCAGGCAGGCTTTCAGCTGTGAGTAGTTATTGTAAAATGTAGTTTAGATTCTAACTTGGCAATCATGCATGAGCAACTAAGCATATATTTACTGCAATGTACCAAAATGAATTCTAAATTGGGGCTATTATTAGAATTTTTAAAGCATAGTAAATTATTTTCTTAATTGAAGAAATTCAGTGCACAGTGAGAAATTTTAATTAAATTTATTAAAGTAAATTTACTATTAATTAAATTTACCTATTTATTATTTAACTAAGTTTACTATTGGGCAGTGAAATAAAAGATTGTGTCATGTTCTGTTGAAAACTATTCTGTGTTAACAATGTTCTTATGAGATTCCCCCTCCACAAATTTTTTCAAATGTCATATGAGAAAGGAAATAGGATTGATTTGTTTCTCCAATATAAAAATGTGTGCATCAAATAAGTGTTGGCCTTTAAAGTATCACTTCTACCCTGGTAAGCCGTTCTCTGTATTTGACTTGTCAATTGCACAAGAAAATAAGTCACATTATTTACTTCACTTCTTGTTTTTGACCAAAAATAAGACTACCCAGTGCACACTTCCATCTTATTCCCAGACTTAGAAGCAATTGAATTTCAACTATTTTCAAGAACCAAATCCACCTTCAAACAATCAAGAGTTGCTATCTGGAAGATATTAAGGGTGTCCCCAGGCCAGAAGGCAAGGCCATAAAGAAGAGCTCTGTAGGAGTTTGCATATAGTTACACTGGCCTCTGCTCCAAATGAAAGGGCTCCTTTGAAGGTAACAGATGTTTGTTAAAAGTAATCAACTTCATCACATTGGCACACGGTGCCCACCAACCTTGTTGAAGGGCTTCTTTCTACCCTGTCTGGGCTATGTCGTCATATATCTTTAAGCCAACACCAGTTTGAAGTGGTAGGTGCAAAGAAAAATATCAGTGATTAGAGAAAAACATGAGCAACTCAGTTAAGAGTAACTGTCACAACCAACCTGTCACCAGTCCTGGGGAATTTAGAGGAAGAATAGGTGGTCATTTACTAACAGTCTGTCACAGACACAGTCTGGGCTACTGGAAGGGTCACTAACTATGATTCCAGAGAAAAGGGAGGCAGGCAGGAGTCTGATGGTACAACGCAGAAGCAAGACCTTACTGGCAATTGCTAAATCTGTGATCACACAAACCTATGAGGAAGTAGCCCTCTTAAATTTTGTATTCCAACTGTTTCACTTGCCTCAGCCTTCTCCTGGTGCTGGTCAATAGCATTGATTTCTAATTCAGTTCTTGTTTTGTCACAGATTTACTGATCAATTCTGGACCAATTGGAGGTTAATGTCATGCAGCTCCAAATTCTCTGTTAGTAAAATGGAGATAATTCATCCCTTCAACACCATACTATAGGTTGCTATGAGGATCCATGGAATATGACTACATTTTGAAAACCATAAATGTTTGTAGTGTTATTGTTTCTTTCTTCTTACTACCATATAAAATTTAATAGCTTTTAAAGTGTCTCTTCCTGCAGTACTTCTCATTATTAGGTGAGAGGGCACAACTGGACCACTGGAGAGACTTGATAAAAAGTATAGATGTCTAGGTCTTAGGCTAATTGAATCAGAAGCTTAGTCTGGGGCTCAGGAATCAGTATATTTTACCCTCCTTGCATATTGATTGTATCTCTTTATTTAACTTAAATTTAGGGTTACCCTACTTTTTATAAATATACATCTTTCAATGACCATATCTAACATCAAACAACTTATTCCACTTCAGGCATCATCTTATAACCTTACAACAGTAGCTTCTAGTTTTCCCTCCTTCCCTTTGTGTTATTACTGGCATAGACTTTTCTTTACATATGTTATGAGCCACACAGTACA